GCTCTGAAGAGCTCTAGTACACAGCCCTCTATGTCTCAGTGCAGAGAAGAATTCAGCTAGAGCAAAGTGGTAGTTAAGAGGTGATTTATTAGAATAGAACGTGCCCTGAGAATTTCCTGGCTACAGTTTTACAATCAGAGGAAAAGTGGGGAGAGGGAGGAGACCTTTGTCTTTCTTGAGTAGACATCATGCTCCCATCATCAGCTCTTCCTCCAAGTGGCGCAGGGGAGTTTTCTTGTCCCTACATGGTCAAGCAAGGTCCACAAATTATAGTTTTTTATGTGTGCAGAGAGCATGTCCTAGGGATCACGAACTTACTGAGCTCACAGGCAGGATGTTGGTCTCACATCACCACTGTTTTATACTTTGGGGCCTGTCTCGTGCTTCTGTCTCATGGTTTTGTTGTTGAGAAGACTGCTTGGCTTTGTGGTTAAGCAATACTGCTTTCTCCAGTGATCATTAACTTACAGGGGTCTCCCACAATTTCCCACATTTTCCTACTTACGATCCCTTAGTGGGATGAAATATTTCTTTTTTTTAATTCTAAGAATTTTATTATAGAAACAAAACAAGGAGTATAATTAAGTATGAAACAAATAATTTCGTTCTTGATAAAAGTACATTTAATGTTACAAAGTAAACTAGTTTATAACCCAACTTTTTATAAGGATTTATTTTTTACTGAAATTAACTTTTATTCTCTTGTGAAGATGTATCCTTAGTTACAGGAATAACACAATCTAAATATACATTGTTGTAGATACCATTCAAAAGTCAACATACATACAATCATCTAATCAGTTGTATTACAAGGTTAATAAACACACACAAAAATGCTAAACACTGCTAAATTATTAGAGAAATGCAAATCAAAACTACCATGAGGTATCACCTCACACTGGTCAGAATGGCCATCATCAAAAAAATCCACAAACAATAAATTCTGGAGAGGATGTGGAGAAAAGGGAACTCTCTTGCACTGGTGGCAGGAATGTAAATTGATATAACCACTATGGAGAACAGTTTGGAGATTTCTTTAAAAACTAGGAGTAAAATTACCATATGACCCAGAAATCCCACTACTAAGCATCTACCCTGAGCAGACCACAATTCTAAAAGACAGGTACCCCCAATGTTCATTGTAGCACTATTTACATTAGCAAGGACTTGGAAGCAACCTAGATGTCATCAACAGATGAATGGATAAAGAAGTTGTGATACATATATACAATGAGCTATTACTCAGCCATAAAAGTAACAAACTTGAGTTAGTTCTAGTGAGATCAATGAACCTAGAGCCTGTATACAGAGTGAAATAAGCCGGAAAGAGAAAAACAAATATTTTATATTAATGTATATATAGGGGATCTAGAAAGAGGGTGCGGGTGAACTGATGAAGCTCTCTGTAGTGCGGCAGTTGAGGTGCAGACATAGAGAACAGATCTGTGGACACAGCGTGGGAAGGAGAGGGTGGGAGAAATTGAGAGCAGCATTGAAGCATATACATTACCACACGTAAAATAGATAGCCAGTGGGAATTTGCTATATGATGTGAAAAGCTCAACCCAATGCTCTGTGACAACCTAGAGGAGTTTAAGAAGGAGGTGGTGGTTTAGCCGCTCAGTCGTGTCCAACTCTTTGCGATCCCATGGATTGTAGTCTCCCAGGCTCCTCTGTCCATAGGGCTTCCCAGGCATACTGGAGCGGGATGCCATTTTCTCCTCCAGGGATGAAGTATTTAATCGCCAATCTTGTCCCTGCATCCTGTCCCGATCACTAATGAGCCATCGGTGGAGACCATGGGAACATCCTGCTCTCCACCACTTCCTCTCCAGGTTTAAGATCTACTGGCTTCTTGCTCAACCCAGTCCAGTACCATTATGGCTACAAACTTTCAACTCCTCCACTCCTTTCAGGGCATTACTTCTAATATCTTCATGGCAGTAGGGGCTTGGGGGGTGGGGGGTGGGGGGAACACGACTCATTATAACAAAACAATGTGGGAAACTGCCAGTGAAACACAGGGCAAGTAGGAAAAAATTTGGTCAGTACTTCAAAGATACAGGCATACCCATTTAGTAAGTGAACAAATTCAAAAGGCAAACTCAGGGGATTCCCTGGAAGTCCAGTGGTTAGGACTACATGTTTTCATTGCTGAGGGCGTGGGTTCGATACCTGGCAGGGGAATTAAGATCCCACAAGCCATGCAGTGCAGCAAAAAAATAAATTATATAAATTAATTAAATTAAATTAGGCAAATAGTTAGGATGTTCTTCCTTGTGATGAGAGCTTTTAAGATGTACCCTCTCATCATCTTTCAAGTATATAACATAGTATTAATTACAGTCACTTTGTTGTACATTTCAACCACAGGAATATTTTATAGCTGCAAGTTTCTACTTCTAACCCTCTTCACCCACTTGGTTCCCCACTCCAACCACCACCTGTGTCAGTGTGGTTTTTTAGATTCCACAGATAAGTAAGATCCTTTTTAACTGGGTTGAACTTCTAAAATTTTAGTGAAGTCCAATTTGTCAAGTTTTTCCTGACATACCTCTTGCTTTTGGCACTTAATCTAAAATGTCACCTCCAAACCCAGTCATCCAGATTTTCTCTTATTTTCTAGGAGTTTTATAGTTTTATTTTTTTCCCATTTATTTTTATTAGTTGGAGGCTAATTACTTTACAATATTGTAGTGGTTTTTGCCATACATTGACATGAATCAGCCATGGATTTACATGTATTCCCCATCCCGATCCCCCCTCCCACCTCCCTCCCCATCCCATCCCTCTGGGTCTTCCCAGTGCACCAGCCCTGAGCACTTGTCTCATGCATCCAACCTGGGCTGGTGGTCTGTTTCACCCTTGATGGTATACTTGTTTCAGTGCTATTCTCTCAGAACATCCCACCCTCGCCTTCTCCCACAGAGTCCAAAAGTCTGTTCTGTACATCTGTGTCTCTTTTTCTGTTTTGCATATAGGGTTATCGTTACCATCTTTTTAAATTCCATATATATGCGTTAGTATACTGTATTGGTCTTTATCTTTCTGGCTTACTTCACTCTGTATAATGGGCTCCAGTGTCATCCATCTCATTAGAACTGATTCAAATGCATTCTTTTTAATGGCTGAGTAATATTCCATGGTGTATATGTACCACAGCTTCCTTATCCATTAGTCTGCTGATGGGCACCAAGGTTGCTTCCATGTCCTGGCTATTTTAAACAGTGCTGCGATGAACACTGGGGTGCACGTGTCTCTTTCAGATCTGGTTTCCTTGGTGTGTATGCCCAGGAGTGGGGTTGCTGGGTCATATGGCAGTTCTATTTCCAGTTTTTTAAGGAATCTCCACACTGTTCTAGGAGTTTTACAGTTTTGTATTTTACATTTACCTCTGCAATGCACTTTCAATTTTTGTGAAGGGTGTATGATCTGCACCTAAACTCATTATTTTGCTTATGGCTAAATGTCCAGTTGGTCCAACACCATTTGTTCAGAAGACTGTTGTTTCCTCATTGAATTCCCCTGTGATTTTGCCAGAGAACTGTTGTGTATAACTGCATGACTCTCTCTGGGCTCTCTGCTCTGTTCCGTTGAATACCTGTCTAGTCTTTCCTTAATACCACAGTGTTTTGATCACTGTAGCTTTATGGTGACTTTAAGTATTGAAGTTAGGTAACAGTTAGGTAACAACTTGTTCCAACTTTTTTTTTCTCCTTCAACGACAGGTTAGTTTTTGGTCTTTGGTCTTTTCATATGTACGTTAAAATCAGTTTGTTGATACCCCCAAAATAATTTGTGGGTATTTTGACTGGCATCCTATTGAATCTGTAGACCACAATCAGGAAGACCTGAGAGTTTGACAGTGCTGTGTCTTCCTGCCCATGTACATGGCCTAGCTTTGTTTTTCTTTTGATATTTATCGATTTCATCAGGTACTTTTCTTCGTATGTCTGATATATCTTTTAATAGACTTATGCCTAAGGACTTCATTTTGGCGGTACTAATATAAATACTTTGTTTCAAAGTCCAGTTTTTCCTTGCTAACAAATAAGAAAGTGGGTAGCAGAGAAACCTATATTCTGTTAGGAGGTACCTGCACTGCCCACAAAGTGGTGTGCTGTTACCTGAAAGAAGACTCTGATTAGTTTTAAGTGTATACTGCAAACTCAAGGACGGCGACTAAAACATCTTTTAAGAGTATCATTGCTCCAAATTCATCGCACCCACCCACCCTCCCCACCTGTATATGTGTTTTTAAGTGACCTTACTTGGGGTGGGGATCAAAGTTGCCAGATTGAATGGACCTCTCCTTCCCTGGCCCCCTTTTTATTTGAAGGTGTCTTGCAGAGAAAGGATCCCTCCTTCCACAAGCTTTACTGAGACACTCAGGGCATGGGCTGAAAGTCAAGTGCAAAATATATTATCTGTGCTGCATTCAGAAGCACCTCTGCCCTTTCATAACTAAAGTTGTTTGCTTGCTCTCGTTTTGGTTGATTTTTGTTTTTTTACTACACCCAAAGTAAACCAGCTCTGCCCAGGAAGTGTCCTTAGTTTTTCATGCAAATGGACTTCTAGCAAAACCACAAGCCTTTGGTTGACCACTCATGTTTGAATCTCAGAAGATCCCGCTGAGGTCAGAGAGGAAGTGGTCCTCCATTTCCCCTCCCTCTCTCCAATGAAACTACACCCACAGACTCCCGGACTTGGGACAAATGGATCACCCATAACACATCAACTTCCCAGACAGATTGCCAGCTGCCTACAAGTCTCTTTTGAGGGCCTTCAAAGGAACATCGGGTCTCTGCTCAGAGCTCTCTTCCTCCATTCTCTTGCCTGGCATTTGGTTTGCATGAAAACCAAAGAAAAGTCTACAAAGCTTAAGGCTGAGTAAGCCAGTAAAGTTACCCACGTGGTTTAAAAAAAAAAAGAGTATTATTGATTAAATTGATACAGTGAGAACAAAGCAAGGCCTTATATACATTCTATAAAACGTTCAATTAAAACCAGGTAAGGGAGTAACGATCCACTAGATGGCGGTAGCCCCCCTCTCTCCCAATTGCCAAGGCCCCACTGGCTTGGAGGAGCCTCATCTGCCCACGTGCGGTGAGCTCGCTGCCGGCCCTTCCTGGTCCGAAGGGCGAGGACCATTCATGCTCCCAGGGCAGACTGGCCTGTGTGTCTCGTTTGGGGGGCAACGCCGTGTGGGCGGAGCCCCGTGTAGTGAGGGCCACAGATTCCCCAGCAGCCAGGGGTGTGTGAGGCAGGAGGCACCGGGCTGGTAGGTAGGTGCAGCCCACCTCTCCCAGGAGTGCAGTGCCTGAAGCCCACCCAGGAGGTGGCGGAGCGTCCTCCCCAGCAGAGGTCAGGATGAGGTGCATGAATGAGGCGGAGTGTAGCAGGGCCCGCTGTGGCCAGCGCCTGTCCGGAGGACTGGGTGCACCTGAGCTCCCTCCCACGTCCGTGTGCGGGATCTGAGTGTGAAGCCTAGAAGGCCCGAGTGACAGGCAGGATCACACCCGACACCCAGGCTCTCTTCATGCAAGCCCGTGTTCCTTCCACAACCCTGAAACCCTGCTCTTCTGCCTCACAGAGCCCGGAGGCTGGATCCCAAAGATGGGGTGGGGGTCCCCCATCTGACGTGTCCCCCCGGGCCGTGGCCTTCCCCAAAGCACATATCCGGGGGTGGGGGTGGCCTTACACTCCCTCCTCCAGGCCGGGCCTGTGACCACAGGGCTGAGGGCAGGGCCTGCTGGGCAGAGAGGAGGAGGCGCCGGGTGGCTGTGGGAGCATCCAGGGAGGTGTCCGACCCTGAGGCCCGCCCTCCAATGGTGTGATCCAAACAGGGGAGACAGGTTCTCAGAAAAGACGAAAGGGTTTGGATGAACTCAGTTGCTGGAGAACGTGGGCATCGGTGTTTCCTTCGTTTGCAGAGCCTGGTGCCCACCTCTGTCAGCCAGAGCTCCAGTGGCAAGCTCCCCTGGTTACTAGGGACTAAATGAATTCACTTTTCACATCGTTCACGGCCTGCATGACGGGGCTGGAGGATGGCTCTGAAGAGACCCTGTCGGCTGAGACAGGGACGTCGGGCCAGCGAGGGCGGTCAGTCTGCTCTTGGTTCACACCACGGATTACATTCTCACATAACATATCATAACAGATCAAGCTGGAAAAAACATTTTTTCCAGGCCACTGAGCACTTTATAGGATTATTCAGTCCAGAGGGGCTCCTGTCTCTCCAGCTCTTCAGGGCAGAAGGCAGCGCTCCTGCAACGGCCTGGGTCTGGGTCAGAGCTGAGATGCAGCTGAAGCCCAGCCCTGCATGGCCTGCAGTCACACTGGGAGCTGGCCCGTGGCTGCCTCTTCCTACCAAGACCCCTAGGTCCTGGAATAGCAGGCACTGAGCCAGTGAGCACTTGTCTTCTTTGTAATTAAACTGGAGGGGCAGCTGAAGGGCCAGCTGGAGGTTGACTTTTCTTTAGGAGGAGAGCTTGACTCCTGGGAACCCAGACAAACCCTTCCCAAAGGAGGCTTCTTCTGGGTCCAACCTGCCCAGGACATCGTGATTCCTGGGAGTGGCAGTGCCTGGGACTGAAACGACCCCCAGGAATCTGGGCACCTGCTCCTCGGAGCCATGGGGCCCTGTCTCTGTTCCCCCTCCCCACCCCACTGCCCCATCCAGGAGCACGGCCCAGAGCTCAGGGAAGGCTGTCTGGCCTCAGATGCACGGCTGTGGCCACACCTGCAAGGAGTCCTGGCAAGGGAACCAGCCTCCGCTTAGGGAGGATCAGAATCCATTTCCTCCCTTCCGAGAAATGGAACAACATGTTAGGAGGGGGTTAACAAAACTTGCTCTGGGGGGGATGGCGATCAGAATTGAGGCCAAGGGGCAGAAACGAGTTCACTGAGTGAGCCCTTACTCTGGGCCCAGCACTGGCGCAGAGGTGGGGGGCAGGGATGTACGCCCCCGCTGGGGCTTCGCTGAAGCACAGGTAAGAAAGCTTGGAGTGCTAATCTGTGATCACGTCGGGGGACACAGACGTGTCAGTGCACAGATCCGAATCACGGCCACACAGAGACATGACAAGGGGTGAGCGGGATGGCGCAGGCAGAGGGCACAGCAAGATGAGGGTCTCTAGGGGGAGGGAATGGGCCCGCCCCCTGCAGCTCAGACAGAAGCCCCCGGGCTAGAGCCACGTGATTGTGGAAGCCCCCAAGTTTGGCGAGAAAAGGCTGGGCTGGACTTGCCTCGGCTCTGCAAGTCTGGAGTCTTCTGAGCGTGGACGTGACCACCTGGTTTCCCCAGATGACCGTCTGTCTTCACGGGGACAGTGTTGGGAGGCCCCCGCCCCACTGACCCTCAGGAAGCACTCTGGGAATGGAGGTTTGGGCAAGAGGAAAAGGAAATCACCAAGAGCCTGGAGGACCAACTCTGTGGGAGGAACAGAGGCCTCCAGCCAGCCCCCACCACCGCCAACCCTCCGCCCCCCGCCCGCTGTGGGCAAAGTCCTGCAGGTACCCTGCCCGGAGCGTGGATGGGTGCTCTGAGGAGGACAAGAGGCTCTCGGCTGTGCTCCACACGTGCTCCTGGTCTGCGAGCCCTCCCTTAGTGGACATGAGAAAATCAGAGGGAGGAGGACGGCCGGGTTCAGGAGTGTCGGGGGTCCTCTTTGCAGGCTCTGCTCCCAGGGCCGGGTGACCCATGCCTCTCAACCCCACACTTGATTATGGCATCACCTGCTTTCTAGGACTGCAGAGGGGAATGGGGTGGCACTTCTGCCACAAGGCGGCATTTAGCTGGAGTGTGCTGTCACGGCTCCTCACCATTTACATTTTTAAATTTAAACCAGGATAGTGTATATTCAGGGAGTCCCTCGTGCTGGCTTGAGATACACACGCAAAGTGAAGTGGTTGCTACAGCCAAGCTAGTCAGCATGTCCAGCTCATATGGTGACCGCTGTTGTGATCAGGGCCTCTGAGACCTGCTCCGGAGCACACTCCAGGCAGGACCTGACACAGTGTGCTCACCCACAGTCACTGCTGGATGGTCTCTCTTCTACTGCTTCATCCGCCCTGTGTGTGTGTGTGTGTCTGTGTGTCTGTGTGTCTGTGTGTGTCTGTATGCACATGCGCGTTTGTGTGCGCGTGTGCGTGCGATCAGTTGAGTACAACTCTTTGCCACCCCGTGGCCTGTAGCCTGCCAGGCTCCCCTGTGGGATTCTCCAGGTGAGAATACTGGAGTGGGTTGTCATTGCCTACTCCAGGGGATCTTCTCAACCCAGGGAGTGAACCCACATTTCCTGTGTCTCCAGCATTGACATGTGGATTCTTTACCACTAGCATCAGTTGGGAAGCCCTTCTCTAAAAGATGGGGAGTGCTTTACAAAAGTAATTGCATTTCTATCATTAAGCAAAAAGTTAACAACAATTGCTTAACAAAACAGAACACCCGGGGTGGCGGTCTGTTCATCCACGGCTTCTGTTTAGCCAGGAGAACACAGGGCTAAGAAGGATGAGGCAGCTGTGCTGTGTACAGATTCCGGGTAACACAGCAGGCTCCGGTCATGGGGACCCCTGCCTGGGGAGATCTTTCTCTCTCTCTCTCTCTCTCTCTCTCTCTCTCTCTGTGTCTCTCTTGGGTGATGTTAGCAGCCTTTGAAAATGGTTGCCTAGATTTGCTCAGGTAATCTCAGTTGTGAAACAATGACATTTGAATTCCAAGCTTGTATTTAAAACAAAACACTTTCCCTCATCAACTACTTGTAGCTTTAGATTCATTTAGATTTGGTGCTTTTTGTTTTATGTTGTCTTAATGTCTTTATTAACTCGTGGATTTAAACAGTCGACGTGTTTCTAAAAATCTTGTTTCGCTATTCTCGGTTGTGCTGGGTGATGGTTGCTGCGCGAGCTTTTCTCCAGCTGCAGCGAGCAGGGTCTGCTCTGCCTTGTGGTCCACCAGCTTCTCCTGCGGTGCCTTCTCTCGTTGCGGAGCACAGGCTCTAGGCACACAGGCTTTAGAAGCTGCGGCTCCCAGAGTCTGGACCACGGGCTCAGTAGTTGTGGCGCCCAGGCTTAGCTGCTGGACCAGGGATCAAACCCACGTCTTCTGCATTGGCAGACAGATTCTTTATCACTGTGTGGCAGGGAAGCTCCGTGATTCAATGTGATAATTCTCACGTCTTTACTCAGCGGGGGCCTCCCCAGGGAATGTTTTTGACACGGACCTGGTGACCCATGGTGGCTTTCCTGCCTTCTGGTGGACACACTGTTTTAGATTGTTCATTTCCTGACTCAGATGTGAAATCTTCCATTTCTTCCAGAAGCCACAGATGGTTTTAATGAGAAATCTGCTCGCTTGGGGATGACTATTGATCAGGTTTGGGCACTGGTTTCAGTCCTTTTCTGTACAAAGCTTGTCATTTTGTATTTATACCATTTGAATTTAGGAATACAGTGTTTTTACTTAACCTCACCCATTGTGTAAACATCTCCTTTCAGTCACACAGTTGATTCTCAATGATATCAGAGTATTGACTCACTCAATCTGACCACAACGTAAAAACATTAATCTCAGAAAAACAGTGCCCATGCCCATACTCCCGGGACTGGCGGTTTCCTCTTGTTAGTGTTGTGATGGTTGTGCCATTATGGGAATGTTTCAATATGCAGGAAGGCCTGTATTTTCCTGGCACACAGATATTGTAGTCAGGGATTAGATAATGCTTGTGTAGATTTCCCTTGTGATTGTCCACTGCTGCTTATTGTAAAAAGTAAGACAAATGAAGGCTTCTCCTGAATCTAGGAAGCGGCAGTGGATGGGCATAGCACTTTAACTTCATAGCCCTAGTGCTCCCTCTTTTGCTGTTTTCACAAAGCAATGAACAGTCTGGCCTGGGATGTTAAGAGATCAACCCCCTCTGCTCTTCTCCCAGTGCCCTTACTGTGCAATCTGCTTGATTTGGTCAGACTCAGGCGTTTCTCCTGAGAGAAGGAATCTGGGTGCTGGGGGAGCTCTGTTAGTTTTGAGTTTATAGGGTTCAGATTGTTCCAGAACTGTATGATCCTTGGGTATTGGGTGGATATTAAGATGGGCACAATAAAGTACAGAAATGGTATGCACCTAACAGAAACAGAAGATATTAAGAAGAGGTGGCAAGAATACCCAGAACTATACAGAAGACATCTTAATGACCCAGATAATCACAATGGTGTGATCACTCACCTAGAGCCAGACATCCTGGAATGTGAAGTCAAGTGGGCCTTAGTAAGCATCACTATGAACAAAGCTAGTGGATGTGATGGAATTCCAGTTGAGCTAGTTCAGATCTTAATAGATGATGCTGTGAAAGTGCTGCACTCAATGTGCCAGCAAATTTGGAAAACTCAGCAGTGGCCACAGGACTGGAAAAGGTCAGTTTTCATTCCAACTCCAAAGAAAGGCAATGCCAAAGAATGTTCAAATTCTACTGCACAATTGCACTCATCTCACACACTAGCAAAGTAGTGCTCAAAATTCTCCAAGCGAGGCTTCAACAGTCCATGAACTGAGAACTCCCAGATGTTCAAGTTGGATTTAGGAAAGCAGAGAAACCAGAGATCAAATTGCCAACACCCATTGAATCATAGAAAAAGCAAGAGAATTCCAGAAAAACATCTACTTCTGCTTCATTAACTATGCCAAAACCTTTGACTGTGTGGATCATAACAAACCGTGGAAAATACTCAAAGAGATGGAAATGAATATCAGACCACCTTTCCTGCCTCCTGAGAAATCTGTATGCAGGTCAAGAAGCAACAGTTAGAACTGAACATGAAACATCAGACTGGTTCCAAATTGGAAAAGTAGTATGTCAAAGCTGTATATTGTTACCTTGCTTATTTAACTTCCATGCAGAGTACATCATGTGAAATACTGGACTGGATGAAGCACAAGCTGGAATCAAGATTGCCGGGAGAAATATCAATAACCTCAGATATGCAGATGACACCATCCTTATGGTAGAAAGCAAAGAGGAACTACAGAGCCTCTTGATGAAAGTGGAAGAAGAGAGTGAAAAGCTGGCTTAAAACTCAGCATGAAAAAAAAGAAGATCATGGCATCTGGTCCCATCACTTCATGGCAAACAGATGGGAAAACAATGGAAACAGTGACAGACTTTATTTTCTTGGACTCCAAAATCACTGCAGATGGTGACTGTAGACATGAAATTAAAAGGAACTTGCTCTTTAGAAAAGCTATGACCAACCTAGACAGCATATTAAAAAGCAGAGACACTACCGACAAAGGTCCATATAATCAAAGCTATTGTTTTTCTAGTACTCATGTATGGATGTAAGAGTTGGACTATAAAGAAAGCTGAGCACCGAAGAACTGATGCTTTTGAACTGTGGTGTTGGAGAAGACTCTTTGAGAGTCCCCTGGACTGCAAGGAGATCCAACCAGTCCATTCTAAAGGAAATCAGTCCTGAATATTCATTGGAAGGACTGATGTTGAAGCTCCAATACTTTGGCCACCTGATGAGAAGAACTGACTCATTGGAAAAGACCCTGACGCTGGGAAAGATTGAAGGCGGGAGGAGAAGGGGACGACAGAGGATGAGATGGTTGGATGGCATCACCAACTCGATGGACATGAGTTTGAGCAAGTTCCAGGAGTTGGTGAAGGACAGAGAGGCCCGGTGTGCTGCAGACCACGGGGTTGCAAAGAGTCAGACAAAACTGAGGGACTGAACTGAACAATTAGGTTGTTAGTTTTGCTTTTCAAATCTAGTGTATGTCTATCTGGGAGCATTTGGAGAAAATACAAAAACAGTAAATTGCCGCCATCTTCCCAGATTCCTTCTTAAATGGGCTTTCAACTCTGTAATGAAAGTCAGAACAGGGTTGATAGAAAAGAATACATCACTATTATTGTGGACCATATAATCATTCACTGAAACTTGAATTTGGTGTGCTTCCTCTAGAAGGTTGTCTCCAAATGTTCTGGTCTGTACGCTCCTCTCGAGGTTATGAAATCATTTTCTCGGCCACCAAGAAAACGCGGTTGATATTCCTCTACCCTCTCACAGGTGACGCTCCTTCCCTTCCCCTGCCTTCGACGCTCTGCCCCTCCTCTGCCCTCCAGGCCTAAGAGCAGCTTCTATCCTGGACTCTGCTTCCACTCTTACATCCTCTACCTCTGGTTCTGGCCTTCCTGCCTCCTCAGCCACCAGCAGGTTGCAGGTGAAATCCAGACCCAAGAAAGGGCCTGGGCAGAGGAGAGAAGTGTGGGGCTTCTGGCCCCAGCAGAGGCTCAGTGCCGGAGGAGGGTGGGAAAAGAAGCACCTGCCAGATGCCCCCAGCCTATGTTTTCTTTCTGGAAGTTTGTGGTTTTAGGTCTTACATCCAAGTCCTCAATCCATTTTGAGTTAATTTTCATGCTCTGGGCAGCATTTTTAAATACCCACAAGATGAGGAGCAGGAGGATAAAATGATCACTGTCCTCCTTCTGATTTTCCAAACAGCATGCAGGAGCTTTTCTGAAGACCCCCAGGCTCTGAGACGCGGTCCATCCACCAGCAAAGTCCACTGTTGAGTGTGGATGTGGGTGAGGCTCGGGCTGGCAGTCGGGCAGCTG